AGCTCATGACTTTTGATGCACTTTGCCCTGCTCTCCATGAAATTATTTCTGCGGTGGTTTCAAAAGTAGACTGATAACCTTGCTTATTTGCAGGTGCAAAATGAATAGAGTTAGAAAGAGCAAGAGGTAACCTTTGTCTGAAAAATGATTGCAGAATAACAGTCATCACACTTGCAGAAATCAGAACACTGTGCAGAAGTGTTTTGCAGTGGCAAACAGAATTGTCTGTGATGCATCTAAATTTATACTAACATGGATCTTCCCACAGCTGGCTTTATCTGAGGACAGACCTAATATGCAATAAAATGGTAGCATATCAGTGTAAGATTGTGCTGTACGTTTGCATTGAGCTCAGTTTCTAACTGCCTGAATAAACAGAGGTTTAAATGCTATTTAACAAATAAAAGTTTCTTGCCAGGTACCAAGTACATGGAAGAGAACAAATCGATGTTTTATTCAACTGTCTGATTCAACACAAGTGGGCACCACAGCCAAACCCAGTGTTAAACTCACTTAGTTCCCATAGAGGCTACTGAATAGTGATCAAGGGCAGGAAACATGGCTATCTTTCCTGTTCTGAGCCTCAGCCAACTAAAGCTGCTGCTTTGACTGTTCAGCTGAACCTGTGCAAGAAAGGACTCGAATTTGGTCCAATATTTGCTAAGAGAAAGTGTTTGAGTGATCCAATACATTAAATTCTCAAGCCAAACTTGATTTCTGTGCACAAACATTGAGAGCCAGCAGAATTTGCCCTTGATAAATGTAAATGAGTTCAGTTGTTACTTCAAGCAAAGTATCAAATGTTTTCATAATTTTATCTTCATTTTAACCCTGCCAGCCAAAAAAAAACTGATTACATGTGAAATTTTTTTTACTTTCTTCTTTGTCTGGTTTATTGCCATATCCTGAAACTGGCTTAAGCAGCTGTGACTCCTATTTCAATATTTGATTCTTCTTTTCAAAGGCATTTTTGAAATTCCAATCTAATAAGATTGTTTTAACATTAATGCTACTGTGTCACTAAATTTTAAATCAGCTGTTCAACAAAAGGTTGAGGGTTATGGAACACATGTCACCAGCATATTAAATATTCCAAGAAATCTCTTGTCAATGCAGATGCTTGTTGTTCTGTTCCTAAATTTTTCTCATCTTCATGACACTAATCATGGAGTCATAGAGATGTACAGCATGTAAACAGAACCTTCGGTCCAACTTGCCCCCGCTGGGCTGATGTCCTAAATTAATCTAGTCCCATTTGCCAGCATTTGGCCCATGTCCTTCTAAACCCTTCGTATTCATGTACCTATTCAGATGCCTTGTAAATGTTGTAATTGAACCAGCCTCCACCACCTCCTCTGGCAGCTTATTGCATACATTACACCACCCTCTATGTGAAAATCTTCCCCCTCTCACCTTAAACCTACATCCTCTAGTTTTGGACTCCCCTAATCTGGGAAAAGACTATGACTGTTCACCCAATCCATGCCCCTCATGATTTTATAACCCTCAGCCTCCGACACTTCAGGGAACAAAGCCAACCCCATGTTAAATAGGATAGATTTCAAACAAATTGAACAACACAAGACTGGGAAACATAAGTTCCCATGAGCTATCAGTAACAGCATACTGGTATTCATTGCGATCAGCAACCTCGTGGCCCAGCACATCCAACACTCTATCATTGCCACCAAGCTAGGGAACAACCCTGATTCAATGAAATGGCAGGAGTGCACACCAGGAGTAGCACCATTTGCACCAAAAAATGATGTTGCAACCTGGTGAAGTTACAACCTGAGACTACTGCAAGGGGAAACTTAAAAACAAAATTAGGAGAGCAAAAAGAGAGCTAAGAAGAAATAATGGCAGGTATAATAAAGAAAAGTCCTAAGTTATTTCACAGATACTTTCAGGATAACTAGGGAAGGATTAGGACCCATTAAGGACCACAGTAGTAATTTGTGTGCAGAGCTGGAGGAGGTAGGTAGAATTCTAAATGAATACTTTGGGTCAGTGTTCACCAGTGAGAAAGACGCTGTGGCTTTAGCTATCAGGGAGAAGGACGATGATCAAATTAAAGAAATTAACATAGACAGAGAGAAGATTCTGAGTGGTCTGTCAGTCTTAAAGTAAATAAATATCCAGAGCCAGATGAACTGTATCCTAGGCTGTTGATTGAGGCAAGGGAGTAAATAGCAGAAGTGCTAGCAATGCATTTCAATTCCTGTCTGGTCACTGGAAAGATGCCAGAGGACTGGAGGGCAGCCAATGTGGTACCATTATTCAAGAAGGGAGCAAGGGATAAACCAGAAAACTACAGGCTAGCTGTCAGTCTAACCTCAGTGGTGGGGAAGCTATTTGAAGCAATTCTGAGAGCCAGAATTAATCTGTATTTGGAGAGACAGGGATTAATCAAGAACAGACAGAATGGTTTTGTTAAGGAGAGGTCATGTCTGACCAACATGATTGAATTTTGGACTTGGACTTCAGCAAAACTTTTGATAAGGTCCCACATGGGAGACTAATATCAAAGGTAGGAGCCTATGATATTCAAGGAAATTTGGCTAATTGGAGCCAGAATTGGCTACGTGGCAGAAAAGCAAGGGATAGAACAGTTAAGCTTCACTGTTCATAGCAGAACATAATTTTCTCAAACAGTTTAAGGTGAGAGGGGAAAGATTTAAAAGGGACCTAAGGGGCACCTTCTTCATGCAGAGAGTGGTGCGTGTATGGAATGAGCTGCCAAAGGTAGTGGTGGAGGCTGGTACAATTACAACATTTAAAAGACATTTGGATTTGTATATGAATAGGAAGAGGTTAGAGGGATATGGGCCAAATGCTGGCAAATGGGACTAGATTAATTTAGGATATCTGGTCGGCATAGACAAGTTGCATCAAAGGGTCTATTTCCATGCTGTATATCTCTATGCCTCTGACCTCCAGGTCTCCAATGATTTTCAGGTTTCTGTTTGCTAGATTATTATATTTCCTTATGTACTCTCTTGTTTCAGTTTTCCCACACATCAAAGATTTGGTTCGAACTAAAAGTTAATGTAGAATTATGGACTGTTAAGAAATATAAATAGCCTGTTTGGTCCTTATTATCTACATTCGTTTTTCTTCTTGTGAGCTATGTAACCCAATTCTACTCTTCTTACTCTCCTGTTCCCTTAATTCCCTTTTCCTTTCAAGCAACCATCCAATTCTCTTTTGGAAAAAAAACTTTATGGGCCACAGCTCAACAATTAGCAGTACAAAAATGCAAATGCTATAAATATTCAAATTCTAACCTCTTTGTGAGGAATAACCACTTCCCAGATTCCTTGATCTCCAAATTTATATAATTTTATATTTTGGTATCCCAGATTGATTTAGTGTGTTTACAAAGTCAATGTGTCTGTGTGCATGCATTATGACATTAAGATAAATGCATTGTGAATCAAGAGCCTTTTTAATCAGTGTCTTGCATCTCAGTTGTCTGGGCATAAATGTTTTCTGAACTGGTCATTAGGTTAAGAAGAGCATACACAGAGGGTTACTTTATCAATGTGAAAGAGTGAGAGACAGCAGTAAGTTGATAATTTGTTTCAACACCTGAATCCACTAATTCTAGCCTTGTGAAAATTCTGATTTTAATCTCTGGATGTTTAGCTGAACCTTTTGGTTGCTTAAACTGGAAGCTCTAGAAACCTTCCTTATACCTCCTCGCACTCTACCTCTCTTTTTCCCTTAGGCAGTGCTTAAATATAACCCAATGCCCAAACTTTCAGATCATTAGCCCATATATTTGATTATGTGATTCAGTGCCTTGGGACATCTTATTATGTTAAAAATCTACTGTTTTAAATGTGTGTTGTTGATGATGATGTCATGTAGTAAAATGTAGATAGTACATTGCTGTTGGAGGTCTGGGCGCAAACATGTTTTTGTCAGCATGTGCATTCATGATTACTGATAATGATGAACACCACAACAATGAATAATGAAGTCTGTAATTAGGACAATCTCATCATACCCCCGTCATGGCAAAAATAAAGATGTTGCAGAAGCTGACTTTTTGATGTGTATCTGGGTGTAACCTGCTAGACGGCCCTGATGGTGGCTGCTAAATTTTGCTAAAGAAGTGAAACCACAAAAATGTCTGGCTCTGGCAGTCGTAAGACTTTCAAACATAGTGTTTCATTTAAGAAGAACTGTATTTTCAGGGATTATCTCTGCAACAGGAAACACTTTATCCCAGAGATTTATTGTTTTATAGCCCACAGTGGTTAAACTGTGTAGGAACAGCAAAGTGGCAGGCAACCATGCTTGCCTCCTTAACTGGTTTGTGAGGCCAAGATGTTCATTATTAACCAGCTATCAACTGACATGTAATTTGAATAGAATGCAGCACTGTCTCTGCTCATGCAGTCTGGCCTTGGGATCTAACGTTTTTCCTTTTTATAGCACAGCAAACAGAGGTTATTTCTGTTGGTCAGAGAAGCAGAGGAATTTTCAAAGTTTTCCCTTGCAACTCCTGTAAAGTGTTTACTTAGCTTCCCCCCAACCCCCTGCCTCACCTCTCCATTTTTAGGATTTTGTGTTCCTGTGTCTGTTTAAAGTTTCCTGGAGATGTATTATAAAATTTATACAGTAACTTTCAGCACATTCACGGGAAAGAAACATCCAGCACAATGCTGAATGTTTCAAAATTGTTGGCTTGACTTCAGCTATCTAAACATAGTGTTAATTGAGCCAGATAATCTATTTTGAGAAAAAAAATCACCAGTGTGCAGTGTGCAAGCTGGTTGGTTCAGTAGAATTATGGTTTCAGAAATGCCCTGGAGCTTGGGAGTATTTGGATAGCTCAAGTATACTGTTGTCTGCCAGTTTGTGATTGGTTTCCCTCTTTTAGTTGTGTATTTTCTCCCCACTGCCTATTTTTGTCTATTAAAAAAAAATCAGATGTGCATGGGCCAGACAAAGAAACATTGAAATGTTAATTGTGGTGTGTTTTGTTTCAGTTGTATGATGTTAACTGGTACAATGATCCTTCCTGTGTTGATGACATTGACCTTTCCGAGTTTTAGCTGTGAAGGTAAGGAATGGTAATTATTGAATTTTTACTCTATAAAACTGTAAGGCATAGAACCAGAAATAGGCCATTTAGTCCATCGAGTCAGCTCAGCCAATCATGAGAAATCATGACCTGATCTAATAATCCTAAATTCCAATTTGCCTTTTCGCCATATCCTTTGACACCCCCACTGATTTAAAAATGTGTTCCATCTATCGCATACTTTAAAGACCCAGCCCCAACAGCCCCCATTGGTAAAGGATCTCAAAGATTCACTACCCTCTGAGAGAAGAAATTTCTCCTCATCTCTGTCTTAAATGTGTGATCCCTTGTTCTGAGATTATATCCTCTGGACCAAGATACTTCCACAAGGGCAGCAATGTTTCTGTTTAAGAATCTACTGAGTTTCAATAAGGTTGCCTCTCATTTTTAATTACAATGAGTACAGACTCAAACTACTCAGCCTCTCCTCATAAAATGGTCTCTCCATGCTGGGATCAGTCTAATGAACCTTCTCTGGACTACCTCCGAAGGCAGAGATCTTTCACTGAATAAGCACAGAAAACTGTTGACACAATTCCAGCTGTGGCCTGATTGGTGCCTTATATAGTTTTTTGCAAAATTTTCCTCCTTGTATACTCCATTCCTTTTGGAATAAAGGCCAACATTCCATGTGCCTTCCCACGTACCTGCTGAGCTTGAATGCTCGTTTTTTTGTGATTCATGAATGAGGACTCCCAAATCCTCGTTTTCTGTAGGTTTCTGTAATCTCTCTCCATTTAAATAATAATTGGCTCCTTTATTATTCCTACCGAGGTGCATAACCTGTCATTTTCCCCACGAGATTACATTTATGTTTTTGCTTACTTGCTCAACCCATCTATATCTCTCTGCGTACTGTGTCATTCTCACTTACTTGCCTTCTCACCTATTTTTGTATCATTTGCAAACTTGTAATAGCACTTTCTCTGTACTACACTGAAATATCAGCCTGAATTATAAAGTCAAATCTAAGGATTGTGTTATTAGCCAACAACTTTCTGTCTCAGATGAAAAGTGCTCTGACTGGGGCAAGACTGGCCCCTTACGTTGACCATGCTATCTTTCCAATGAGATTAGGCCCCATCTACCTGCTTAGTAAAAGATCCCATTCCAAAAATAGCAGCAATTTTCTTGGGTGCTCGTGCCATTACTTGACCAATGATGCTAGAACATTTTTGCTAGTTGTTCTTCATCTTTGCTGTTTGTGGTTCTTTGTAGTCCAACTTTTGTGTGTGTGTGTGACCAGAAGTCACAGTTCAGCAGATTATAGTCCAACAGATTTATTTGAAATCACAAGCTTTTGGAACGCTGCCTGATGAAGGAGCATGCTCCAAAAGCTTTTGACTTTAAATAAACCTGTTGGACTATAACCTGGTATTGTGCAACTTGTGATATTGTCCACCCCAGTCCAAAACCAACACCTCCACATCATGTGTATATATAAAAACATGGGCAGTGAAAGTAACTCCATGGCTGGAATGTCATTTGGAGTCTCCTGAGGATGTGAAAAGTGCCATGTAAATGAGAGGTCAATGAGCTTTCCTAATTTCTTTTAGTATATCATTTAATGGCAATCTATTGGCTCTTGCAATGCTGTTACAATTTTTTTTATTTATTCATTTATGGGATGTGAGCATTGCTGGCTGACCAACATTTCTTGCCCATCCCTAGTCACCTTTTAGAAGGTGATGGTGAGCTGCCTTCTTGAACCGCTGCAGTCCACCTTCTGTGTGTTGACCCACAATGCTGTTAGGGAGAGAATTCCATGATTTTGACCCAGCGACAGTGAAGGAATGGCAATATATGTCCAAGTCAGGATGGTTAGCAGCTTGTCTTTCTAGTTGGAAGTGGTCGTAGGTGCTGTCAGAGGATGTAGGTGAATTTCTGCAGTGCATCTTGTAGATGGTAATCACTCCTGCTACTGAGCCTTGGTGCTGGAGGCATTGGATCTTTGTGGATGTAGTGCCAATCAACCGGGCTGCTTTGTCCTGGATGGTGTCAAGCTTCTTGAGTGTCGTTGGGGCTGCACTCATCCAGGCAAGTGGAGAGTATTCCATCACTCTCCTGACTTGTGCCTTGTAGATGGTGGACAGGTTTTGGGGAGTCAGGAGGTGAGTTACTCACCACTGTATTTATGTGGTGAGTCTAGGTGAGTTTCTGGTCAATGATAATCCCCAGGATGTTGATAGTGGTTGGGGGGGGAAGTGTTCTTTGATGGTAACGCAGTTGAATGTCAAGGGCCGCTGGTTAGATTGTCTCTTATTGGTAATGGTCATAGTGTGACATTTGTGTGGCGCGAATGTTACTTGCCACTTGTCAGCCCAAGCCTGGATATTGTCCAGATCTTGTTGCATTTGAACATGGACTGCTTCAGTATCTGTGGAGCAGCGAATGATGTTGAACATTGTGCAATCATCGGCAAACATCCCCAGTTTGATCTTATGATGGAGGAAAGGTCATTGATGAAGCAGTTGAAGATGGTTGGGCCTAGGACACATCGCTGAGGAACTCCTGCAGAGATGTCCTGCAGCTGAAATGGCTGACTTTCAACAACCACAACCATCTTCCTATGTGTCAGGTATCACTCCAACCAGTGGAGAGTTTGCCCCCTGATACCCATTGATTCCAGTTTTGCTAGGGCTCCTTGATGCCACACTTGGTTGAATGCAGCCTTGATGTAAATGGCTGTCACTCTCACCTCACCTCTGGAATTCAGCTCTTTTGTCCATGTTTGAACTAAGGCTTTGATGAGGTTAGGAGCTGAATGGCCCTGGCAGAACCCGAACTAGATGTCACTGAGCAGTTTATTGCTGAGCAGGTGCTGTTTGATAGCAATATTGGTGACATCCTCCATCACTTTACTGATGCTTTAGAGTAGACTGATGGGGTAGTAATTGGATTGGTTGAATTTGTCCTTTTTATGTTCAGGACATACCTGGGTAATTTTCCATATTGTCGGGTGGATGCCAGTGTTGTAACTGTACTGGAACAGCTTGGTTAGGGGAGGGGCAAGTTCTGGAGCACAAGTCTTCAGTACTGTTGTTGGAATGTTGTCAGGAGCCCATAGCCTTTGCAGCATCCAGTGTCTTCACCCGTTTCTTGATATCACATGGAGTGAATCAAATTGACTGATGACTGGTGTCTATGATATTGGGGACCACTGGAGTAGGCCGAGATGGATTACCCACTCGGCACTTCATGCTGAAGATTGCTGCAAGAGCTTCAGCCTTATCTTTTGCACCAATGTGCTGGGCTCTTCCATCATTGAGGATGGGGATATTTCTGGAGCCTCCTCCTCCTCCAGTGAGTTTTTTAATTGTCCACCACCATTCACGACTGGATGTGGCAGGAATTGCGGTGTCTGAATCTAATCCGTTGGTTGTGGGATCGCTTAGCTCTGTGTGTCACTTGCTGCTAATGCTGTTTGGCGTGCAAGTAGTTCTGTTTGGTGGCTTCACCAGGTTGAAACCTCATCTGCAGGTGCTGCTCCTGGCATGCCCTCCTGTCCTCTCCAATGAACCAGGGTCAATGCCCTGGCTTGATGGTAATGGTTGAGTGGGGGATATGCCGGGCCATGAGATTACAGATTGTGCTGGAGTACAATTCTGCTGCTATTGATGGCCCACAGTGCCACATGCATGCCCAGTCTTGAGCTGTTGGGTCTGTTTGAAGTCTGTCCCATTTAGACGGTGATAATACTAAACAACACAATGGAGTTTATTCTCAATGTGAAGGCGGGACTTGTCTCCACAAGGACTGTGTGATGGTCATTCTTACCATTACTGTCATGGACAGATGCATCTGCAGCTGGTAGATTTGAGGATGAGATCAAGTATGTATTTTCCTCTTGGTGGTTCCCTCACCAACTGCCACAGACCCAGTCTAGAAGTTATGTCCCGTACGACCCGACCAGCTCGATCAATGGTACTGCTGCCGAGCCACTCTTAGTGGTGGATACTGAAGTCTCTCACCTTGAGTACATTTTATGTCCTTGCCATCCTCAGTGCTTCCTCCAAGTGTTGCTCAACAAGGAGGAGTACCGATTCATTAGCTGACGGAGGTTTCCTTGCCCATGTTTAACTGGAAACCATGAGACTTCATGGGGTCCAGTGTTAATATTGAGGACTCCCAGGGCAACTCCTTCCCGACTGTATACCACTGTGCCGCCCCCTCTGCTGGGTCTGCCCTGCCGATGAGACAGGACATACCCAGGAATGGTGATGGTGGTGTCTGGGACATAGTCACACTCGCGGACTTATACCTTACAGGCATGTTACTAGTCTGTGAGATAGCGCTCCCATTTTTGGCACTAGCCCCCAGATGTTAATAAGGAGGACTCTGCAGGGTCAGCAGGGCTGTTTCTCCCGTTGTCTTTTCTGGTGCCTAGGTCAATTCCAGGTGATCCATCCATTTTCAATTCTTTGAGGCTTTGTAGTGATTGGTACAACTGAATGGCTTGCTAGGCCGTTTCAGAGGGCAGTTGAGAGTCAACCACATTGCTGTGGGGCTGGATTCACATGTAGGCCAGACCAGGTGAGGATCGCAGATTTCCTTCCTTAAAGGACTTCAGTGAACCAGAAGGGATTTTTCGGACAATCGGCAATGGTTTCATGGTCATCTGTAGATTTTTAATTCCAGATTTTATTTTCCTCATTGGATTCAAATTTCACCATTTGCCATGGTGGGATTCAAACCTGGGTCCCCAGAATATTAGCTGTGTTTTTGGATTAATAGTCTAATGCTAATACCACTCGGCCATGCCTTCCTGATTTATAGTACTTTCTATTCTATGGAAGCCCTGATTTTTTTTTTTATTTACTGGTAAGATATACACTTTGTGAAAGGTATACTGGAGTAAACATATCTTAAATTTTCATTGTGTATGCATTGGATGAATTTCATAACATTCCAAATAAATTCTATTGCTAGAACACTAGTCTATTGTAGAGCATCGAATCTGCAACTCTGACTAACTACAAGGGAATCCCGTTGTAGTGGATAAACTGAACTTGGCAGAAATCGGCATTTCCATCTGGTATGCATTTAATGTAGTTTTAGAAATTTAGAAATGTAGCTTTTGGAAATGTGTTGAAGCTAAATTTGGGGCCATTTTATTTATAACCTAAAAGAAAAACCCTAATATTCAAATGATGCATGGCCTGAAGAGACTTTGAAGTAGTAGAACTGGGAAAGAAAAATGAAATTGGTGAAACTGGCAAGTACGTTGGATCATTTTAGAAAAAGAGTAAGAAGATACCTAACTTGTCCAATATTAGGAATACTCTGCAAAGACTTAAGAAGCAATATCAAATTTTGTTAGTATAAAGAAAAACATTTTAATGGAAACATTAGTTAATGGATATGTCACAATTTCTCTGGATCAAGTGCACTGATAATTGTGCCCCATTGTCCCATAAGCCATCACAATATATAAAGTTCTGAATGAATTATTAAGATTTTTCCTGACTGACTACTACTGAAAACAAAAACAATTCATACCAAGTTTTGTCATTAACTGAAAATAACTCTCTTAATTGTGACACATCTAACAACTGGCCGTAAAAAGATAAGGTTATGTATCATTTTTTTACTGAAGAAGGGTCTAGGCCCGAAACGTCAGCCTTCCTGCTCCTCTGATGCTGCTTGGCCTGCTGTGTTCATCCAACTCTACACCTTGTTATCTCAGATTCTCCAGCATCTGCAGTTCCTACTATCTCTGAAGGTTATGTATCTACTACTATATAACTTAAAACTATACCCCTTTTAAATCCCAAAATACCTATACAGTCATTCATAACAAAGACAGATGGTTTGACACAGGTATTATGGTGGAAGAAGAACATAGAATAAGCAACATTTTGAAGATCAGAAGCCCAGATTTGAGAGTGGGTTAAATTTTCTCTTCTTAGTTCGTTTCGATTTTCAGCACTGATGACATGCTGTCGGTAACTCGAAGGTTATCTTCATTTCAGTAGTTGATTTGGCAGACATTGGTCTTCTCTTATTAGAATTCTTTCTTTTAAACTTTCTTGGTTTTTCTATTTTCTTTTCCCCATACAGAGTGGGAGAGAGAGATATTTTCAGTTAAAAGGCTCTGTATATTTCTGCTGCTTTTGTACTTGCAGCTTTATCACAAACAAGAGCCCAACCAATCAGAGGGCTGTCATCAGGCAGAATTTCTTAAATCCAAAGACTCCCTGTGTCACTCAGTCTCAAGGTATTTCGCTCATTGCTTTGAAAAGCAATGTTGTCTTCCATAACTAAAAAATTTGCCTCATTTGATTTTTTTCCAAGTTGCAAAACTCTCCTAGTATTTTAGCTATCTTGCAACTTAACTTCTATTTCAATTTATTGTCTCTTCCCCCATCCCACCCACAAAAAGTGGGTTCTCTTAAAATGCTAGCTATATTTTGTCAAAATATCAAATTGCTCAGTAAAGTCAATTTACATGCAATTATCTTGTGTACAATGCAGAATGAGTTAAGGAAATAGATCATTTGAAGTCAGTTTTTAATTCTGGCTTTGGAAACATATTGTAAGATAAGGCTTTAATGACAAGACTGGGAGAGGGTGAAATTAGAATGCAACTGAAGGAAAAGCCTTCTGAACGTTTGATTTCCTGCCCACTAATATTTCAAGTGAAAACAAAGAGTCAGAAGGATGGAATTCAAATAAATCTGCTTTTATTAGTACAGATCACTGACACTACTTTTGGGATTACAGTGATCAATTTAAAAACTCCAGCAAGCATAACCTTTCAGCAGCTGCAATAAATTACACTTGCTGAAATGGAAAAATATGCTTGAGGTCAATAGTAGATGCTTCTTTACTGCCAGTGAAGTTTTAAAAAATAAATCACTGTAATAGAGTTCTTAATGTGACTTTACTGAGCCAGCATTTGTTATCCATTCCTAATTGCCCTTGAACTGCATGGCTTATTGGGCCATTTTAAAGGGCAGTTAAGATAGAGATATACAGCACAGAAACAGACTCGTCGGTCCAACTCGTCCATGCTGACCAGATTTCTGAAGAAGGGCCTAGACCCGAAACGTCAGCTTTCCTGCTCCTCTGATGCTGCTTGGCCTGCTGTGTACATCCAGCTCTGCACCTTGTTATCTCAGACTCTCCAGCATTGGCAGTTCCTACTATCTCTCATGCTGACCAGATGTCCTTTATAAATCTAGTCCCATTTGCCAGCATTTAGCCCATCTCCCTCTAAACCCTTCATATTCATACACCCATCCTAGATGCCTTTTAAATGTTGTAATCGTACCAGCTTTCATCACTTCCTCTGGCAGCTCATTCCATGCATGCACCACCCTCTGCATGAAAAAGTTGCCCCTTAGGTCCCTTTTATATCTTTCTCCTCTCACCTTAACCCTATGCCCTCTAGTTTTGGACTCCCCTACCCTGGGGAAAAGACCTTGTCTATTCACCCTATTCATGCCCCTCATGATTTTATAAACCTTTATAGCCCCTGACGCTCCAGGGAAAAAAAGCCCCAGCCTATTCAGCCTCTCCCCATGGCTTAAAACCTCCAACCCTGGCAACATCCTTGTAAATCTTTTCTGAACCCTTTCTAGTTTCACAACAGCCTTCCTATAGCAGGGAGACCAGGATTGCAGGCAATACTCCAAAAGTGGCCAAACCAATGTCTTGTAAAGCTGCATCATGACCTCCCAACTCCTATATTTAATACACTGACCAATAAAGGCAAGCATACCAAATGCCTTCTTTACTATCCTACCCATTGCTGTGGGTCTGGAGTCACATGTAGGCGTAACCAGGCAAGGATGACTGCTTTCCTTCCCTGAAGGTCAGTATTAAACCAAATGGCATTTCCTACAATCAACAATGGTTACATAATTGCTTTTAGTTTCACGTTTAATTCCAGATTTTCTTTGAATTCAAATTTCACCATCTGCTACGGTGAGCTTCGAACCCATGTCCCCTTGATCTCTGAATTAGAAGACATTACCACTCCTCTATTATGTCCCCCTAATACAATGAAGTATTGTGGTTCTGAGATTTGAAACATCTGGAACTATTGTATGAAGGATATACACTGACAATTATAATTGACTTTTAGTACATTTTGTATTAGTAGTTTATTTTGTTACCTGTTGTCATGGGCTTGATTGACTGTTTCTCAAGATTTTTCCAATGGCTCACCTTACTTTTGAACTTTATTTTTCAGACGAGAAGCCAGAATTAAACACAGGCCTGTATAAGTGCGTATGTGAAGGGATGTTTTGTGGAGGAGAGGATCAATGTGTAGGGCAGCAGTGTTTCGCATCACTGAGCATAAATGATGGTCATCCAGTTTATCAAAAAGGCTGCTTCCAAGTATATGAACAGAGTAAGCTGACATGCAAGACTCCACCATCAGCGGACCAGACAGTAGAATGTTGCCATGGCAACTTGTGTAATATGAATATTACAGCTCAACTGACACCTAAAGGTAAAGCTTTCTTAACAAACTCTGGGCTCTTTCAAATTGTTGACATCTACTTTTATGATTGCCAACTGTTTCACAGACGCTGATGTGCAAGATCCAACTTCACTGTGTGGCAAGAGAGATGAAGCAGAGTGTGCGTAAAAAATATGCACCAAGCTGAATTATGGGATGAACTCACTGATCTCCAAAACTGCACTTTTCTGCCATTGCAAACTTTGACTTCATTGTATGAACTTGTAAGGGAATCAAAAACATTGGCAATTATTAGTACTTTTGCATTTTTAAAACATGCATAATTGTATTTCCTGTGTTGATTGAATCTACACTGCCTGTTGCGGTACTCTTAGTCCTTTCTTTAGATTACAAAAGTTAAAATTCTGTTCTTGAAAAGAGATCAAGTATGGTTGCTCGCTGTACTGTTTCTAGTTTTATATTACTGTACATCCTACTGCTTGAGGTACAAAGATGTAGTGTCCCAATCATAAAGGAATATCAATATGAAGATGAGAATTTAAAATATGAGTGCTGCAGGATTTGGTATGCAATAGGACGTGGATTCAATGCGCTGGATGAGCTGAAGTGTATTGAGTATATTGGGTAAGAGGCTGGTGAGGAGACCGTTGCACTGGCCAAGTGTGATAACGTTGTGGATCAATGTTTCCAACAGCAGGTGAGCTGATAAAAGTGACATTCAGGGTCAACCTTGGGCAGTGGCTGATCAAATTAGTAGCAAGGGTGTGGAATTTCTTGAGGGGCCAAAGGCAACAACTTTGACCTTTACAACAATTGACAGCATGAGATTGTAATTCACCCAAGTATGGATGTCAAACACTGGGAAGAGAAGGAGGTCAAATTAAATGATGGCGAGTCAGAAGTGGGTATCATTAGTGTATATGAGGTATTTATGAGGTATTGTTTGCAGCTGATATTTTCAATTGTGAATAGCAAAACATTTTAAAGATTAGGCAACTCCAGTGCAAGTACTTATAAATTATAGACAAAAGAAGGTTTACGTAATGTGAATCGTTTTAATTGCTGATAGGGTTCTGCATGGACATTGCAATGGTAATGCTGTATGTGGGGGAAAATGCCACTATAGAAACTACTTAAAGAGTTGAAGGCAGATAGGTGGTAATGTTTGCAGTTGTATTGGAAAAATGGAGAATATTGAAATGTACGTTTTAGTTGTTAGATTTGGATATCTGGCATTGTCTTAGTAAGGGCACTCGTGTGTTAATGAGCCTTGATCTTGTCAGAGATTGATTGACTGCTTCTGACATTAGTGTTATGACATAGTACCAGATAACTAATTCCTGTTTCACTTGTTTGTAAAATTTTAGACTGTACTGTGAACAGCAAGAAGAGATACATTTTCTCAGTACACACTGACTGCTGTGTTATGGTATCCCTGTGTAGAACGCTAAACCTCTGATTCTGTCTACTGGAGGATTTTCACTTCCCTGGCTTTCCAGCTTGTCTCCTCCTTATCATCACATACCTTTGGTAGGAATGTCAAACATCAGAGCCAAACCCCTCTATCTCTAAGTTTTGTATCTTTATAATAGTGGTAGGTGAGCAACAGGAGTGATGATTTGAGGTGATGCCTTATTTTGTAAGGTGATAAACTAACTTAAGCCCTAATTCTTTCTGTCTCTGTGGTATTTCAGGTTTGTAATATCAATTTTGATTACGTCAGCAACCTGATAAGCATGGAATACAATCTAGAGTCTATTTCCTGCTTGGGTAGATATTGCAATAATATGGCCAACCTTGTGTAGATATTACTGTGTGTTGGAGATTTGGGACAATGAAGCATCCAGTTCAGTTCACTGGATATACTCAAAACAGCGCTATACTAGATGCTTGTAGAAGTTGCTTCCCTAACTTGGTGATATGGGTTGTGAAAGTCTTTCCATTTTTTGATTGACAAAACTGTTCTCAATTTTTGCCTAAAGCTTTAGTTTTGTGATCGATGTATAGCTTATTACATAATCATTCTTCATGGAAGTATCTTCCAAAATATAATAGTATTATAGATCAGCCTTTTATCATATCTAATTTACATGATATAGTTATAGAGTCATACAGCACGGAAACAGACCCTTCAGTCCAATCAGTCCATGCCAAACATAATCCCAAAATAAACTAGTCCCACCTGCCTGCTCCTGGCCCATATCCCTCCAGATCTTTCCTATTCATGTATTTATCCAAATGTCTTTTAAACGTTGTAATTGTACCTGCATCCAGCACTTCCTCAGGAACATCATTCCACAGGCAAACCACTCTGTGTAAAAAAATTGCCTGTCATGTCCTTTTTTAAATCTCTCTCATCTCACCATAAAACTGTGCCCCCTAGTATTGAAATCATCTTCTGTGAATCTGCAGGTTGTCAAGAAAATATAAAAATTAAAATTAACAGTGCTAACAACAATGAAACTACAGTATCATTAGCATGTAACTGTTATGACACAGAGGCTTGTTAGCTGTCATTGGGGAAAAAGTGGAATCTACTATTAAGCATGGTTTAGCGGGGCACTTAGAAATTGCCAATGTAAGCATGCAGAGTCACCTTGGTTTTGAGAAGGGGAAATCATGACTATTTGCTTGTTACTTCCTCAAAGGAAAGCCTCGAATAAATGTGCATGAAAGAGACCTGAGGATGTGTTCCACTTGGATTTGACAAGGTGCCACATCAAAGTTTATTCTGCAAAATAAGAGCTTGTAGTGTTGAGGTACCATGTTATGTTGGATAGAAGATTGATTAGCTAACAAGAAACAGACATAAAGTGCTCACTTTCAGGTTGGTAAGATGTGACATGTAGAGTGCCACAATATTACGGAGCCTCAACTATTTGCAATTTATGTTGATGACTTGGAGAAAAGAATCAAAATATGATTGTCATAACTGATGACACAAAGATAGGTAAAAAGAGTAAGTCATGAAGAGGACACAAGGAGTCTGCAAAAGGATATAGATAGAAGTAGTAATTTGGTCTTGCACCCATCAGGGCATTCACAAGAATACCAATGCAAAGGGATCAACAGCTTTATACCGTGTGAAAAGACAGTGTTGATTGGTTGGCAAGTTAACTTTGAATGGTAAAGGCATTGCAATGGAGAATGTGCCAGTTAAATTATGATTGACAGTTAAGTTTAGAAGTTGAGTTTTGCTGAAAAACATTTTGTGAAAGCTTTTCATTTTGCACTCAGCAGCACTTTGCAAAAATTCCAATGTAAAGGGGAACATCAAGGAGACTGTGGTCGAGGGATGTCTTTGAGAATGCAGCACATTTCTTTAAAACAGAATGGATATAAAAATAGGGAGCTCTTGCTAAAACTATATAAAGCACTAGTCAGACCACAGCTGGAATCCTATGAGCTGTCTTGGTTTCCTTGTCTAAGGAAAGATATATTGGCACTGGAGGCAGTCCAGAGAAGGTTCACTAGGCTGAACCTAGACATGGCAGTATTTTCTTATGAGGAGAAGTTGAGTAGGTTGGGCCTGTACTTACTGGATTTTACAAGGATGAGAGGAGGCCTTATTGAAACATACAAGATTCTAAGTGGACTTACCAGGGTAGATATGGAAAGATTGTTTCCCCTTGGAAGAGTCTGGGACCAAAGGAGGAATTTCTTCTGATGTTTGGTAAATCTGTGAAATCCCTTAACACAGAGGCTGTAGAGAGTGGGTTATTGAGTATATATTCTGTTGAGGTAGACAGATTTTTAGTCAGTGAGGGAATCAAGAGTTAAGGGAAAAAGGCAATAAAGTTTTGTCTTATTATTCACTCATGGGACGTGGGTGTCGCTGGCTGAGCCAGCATTTATTGCCTGTCCCTACCTGTCCTTGAGAAGGTGGTGGTGAGCTTCCTTCTTGAACTGCTGCAGTCCATCTGCTGCAGGTTGACTCAATGTCCTTAAGGAGGGAATTCCAGGATTTTGATCCAGTGACAGTTAGGGAATGACAATATCCAAGTCAGATTGGTGAGTGGTCTGGGGAACTTCCAGGTGGTGACTGCCCTTGTCCTTCTAGATGCAAGTGGTTGTGAGTTTGGAAGGTGCTGTCTAAGGATCATTGAATTTCTGCAGTGCACCTTCTAGATAGCGTATACTCCTACTACTGCGTGTTAGTGGTGGACGGAGTGGATGCTTGTTGATGTGGTGCAAATCAAGTGGGCTGCTTTGTCCTGAATGGTGTCAAGCTTTCTGAATGTTGTTGGAGCTGCACCCATCCAGGCAAGTGTGGAGTATTCTATCACACTCCTAATTTGTGCCTTGTAGATGATGGACAGATTTTGGGGAGACAGGAAGTATGCTGCAGTATTCCTAGTTTCTGACCTACTCTTGTTGCCACTGTATTTATATGGTGAGTCCAGTCGAGGGTGTTGTCAGTGGGGAATTTGAGGATTGATGATCTCACTGAATGGTGGAACAGATTCAATGGGCTGAATGGCCTCCTTATTTCTTATGTCTTATATCTTATAACAATGAATGACAATTAAATGCAAAGCTTTGTTTAAAATAAAGCTATGCAGGTTGACTCTGGTCACAGCATTACTCTGAGGAATAAACCAAAGAATGACAATCACTTATTTTAAGTTAAAACAGCTACAATGTGGGCATATTATTTCTGTCTGCAAATTACCGAGCCCTCTGTATCAATAAATGCAGCTTCCAGTAAGCACAAATATGCTACATTGCGATCTGGACTGACGATCTTGATTGTCAGCGTTATTCTGAGCACACAGGATAATTTAGTGACTTCCATCAAACATGGAATCACATCTAAGGCTTGACACTGTTATAAGTTTTTACAAGCATAGCTTGTTGTTTTTGGTCAGTACCAATCAGAGTTGACCTACTTGGTTTAAATTAATATAAAATCCAGCCGTTAACTGTCAATCATAATTTAACTGGCACATTCTCCATTGCAATGCCTTTACCATTCAAAGTTAACTTGCCAACCAATCAACACTGTCTTTTCACACGGTATAAAGCTGTTG